CCCCCTTTTTTATTTTTTATTTGTTCTCTTTCGATCTGAATTCTTAGGGTTTTCTTCTGTGTTCTTTGTTTCTTTTTAGAGCAGGTTCTGATATTTTCTCTCAACGGGTAGTGCCTCAGTGTTCAGTATGGAAGACGAAGAACTCAGTAGGAGACTGGGTGATGTTCAGTTATCAGAGATAGAAGCTAATCTCATCCCCTTGGCCACGGACGATATTCAGAAAAGTAAGGACGAGTGTGCCAAAAGTATTTTCGGGAAGGTCATCGGACAACGCAAGGTTCATCTAATCGGTCTGAAAAGGGTTCTTTCCCAAATATGGCAAATCCAGGCCCCGATGACAATCAAAGAAATCAGCAGCAACTACTTCCAATTCATTTTCTCAAACCTAGAAGACAAAGACAAAGTGCTGAAAGGAACAAATTGGCTTATTGATAACCAATATCTAATCCTTAGAGATTGGTCTGAAAGCATCAATAGTCAACACGAAAGCTTCAAGGAATTGGAGATATGGGTTCAGGTGTGGAATGTCCCAATCCACTGGTCATCTACAGAAGTTGGACTCAAAATTGGGAAGGCTTTCAAAAGAGTCAAGAATGTAGTCATCCCCCAGTATGGTCCTCTGGCTGGGAAATGTCTAAGGATGCTAGTAACCATTGACATTGAGATGCCTATTCTCAGATATTCATGCTTGCAACTGGAGGGCACCACGAAGATTGTTGAATTCAAGTATGAAAGGTTAGTGAACTTCTGTCATTATTGCGGGATCATTGGGCATTTGGACAAAAATTGTGAAAAGCGGATGCAAGACATGGACACTGGAAACCTCAGAGAAGGAGCTTATGGAGACTGGCTTAAAGCTCATGACTACCCTCCCTTGGGACACAATCATCAGACCAACTCAAATTCAGAATCCCCTTCTCCTTCTCCAAACCAAAAATCTCACACTCCTCCCCCCTTAACTGTCAAGGTTAACCCCCTCAACACCAACCCAAACACAGACAACCCATCTTCATCCAACAATACATCCAATCAGAACTCTACCACCCTAAACCCTCATAATAAGCCCTGTAATCCTCCTATCTCCCCTGCATCATTGATCCAACCTCTCTCACCAACCAAAAGCCAATCCTCCTCACCCATTACCCCAAACACTATCACTAAAATCATTCCTCATCCTACCTCCCCCAAACCAGACAGCTCTCAACAAATAACCCCCATGGAAACCTTACCTCTCTTCATCCCTGAAGAAAACACCCAGAACCTTCAACTAGTGACCTGTCCCCAACCTGTAAACTTTAACCTGCAACCATCTCCAACCCCAACTCAAACCAATCCTAGTAAAAAATGGAAGAGAAAGCAAGTCTCCCCCAGCAAAGGGGTCCAAAATGCTATTTCCCAGGGCAGACTTATCAGAACCAAGAGACAGCTTACCATTCAAGAACCACAAGGCAATTCCATAAGTTGTTCCAATGAGGATAATCCCTCTCTAATCAAAAAGCATAAAAAATCTGATCTGCGGGTTCAGGAGGCCAGCCCCAAATGGCCCCACCCTAATCAATGAAGACAACACTGTGGAATTGTAGAGGCCTGGGTGGGGCCTCTACAATTTCCCAGCTCAAGGAGTCTTGGAGACTCCACCACCCCAGTTTTGCCTTTTTCTCTGAAACCAAAAAATCAGAAAAATTTATATTTACTATTTGTAAAAAGTTGGCTATTAGTGATAATTGGTCAGCTGTCAACCCAGTTGGTAGAAGTGGTGGGCTTTTGTTGCTTTGGAATTCTGATGTTCACATATTCCAAATTATCAAATCTGAGTTTTGTATGCAAGTGGAGTATTGGGATGAAGCCAAGAACCACACCTGCTGGGGAATTTTTGTCTATGCCAGCACTCAGCAGTCAGTTAGGCATGACCAGTGGCAGTTTCTTCTGGATGCTCAAAATCAGTGGGGTGACTACTGGTTTATAGGAGGAGACTGGAACGAGATTACCTGTCAAGAGGACAAACAAGGAGGCATAAGTAGAACTCTCTCTTCTTTCAGTGCATTCAACAGATTTATATCATTAATGGGTATGCAAGATATGGCTCTCCAAGGTCACAGGTTTACTTGGGCAAACAACAGACAAGGAGAAGGATATGTGGAGGAACAACTAGACAGGATATTTTGCTCTCTGGGATGGCTCTCCCTCTACCCTAACACAGTAGTCAGCAATGAATTTAAGAGCTCATCTGATCACAGCATGCTTCTCCTTAATTCCAACCCAGAAATCAAGCCTCATAAGAAAAGATTTTTCTTTGACCAAAGATGGATTCACAGAGAGGATGTCTCTGAAGTTGTCTCTAAAGCATGGAACCTTTATCAATCAGGCACACCCATGTTCTGCTTCCAAGAAAAGATCAAAGGGGTAAGGCTGCAACTACTGAAATGGAGCTGCAAGTTTAAAACTGAGTCTGCCAAGAAGATTGAGAGCTTGCACAGACAACTTGCTGAACTGAGATGGGAAGGAGGGTTGAGGGATTGGCATAGGTGGGATTCTATCCAAAAGGAGTTGAATAAATTGTACAAAGATGAAGAACAATTCTGGCAGCAAAAATCAAGAATCTCCTGGCTAAAACATGGAGACAAAAACACTAAGTTCTTCCATGCCCAGACCACCCACAGAAGAAGAAGGAACAAAATCACAAGACTTATCAATGATGACTCCACAGTCTGTGAATCTCAGGATGAAATATCCCAGTGCATTGAGGAGTTCTACAATAATCTTTTCTCAACCCAAGGCCCTTCTGGGACTGATCCAGTGCTGGATGAAGTATCTCCTGTCATTACTGAAGCTATGAACACTGAACTCACTGCCAATGTTGATGAAGAAGACATTAGAACTGCTCTCTTCTCTATCTCCCCTCAGAAAGCTCCTGGGCAAGATGGTATGACCTCTCTGTTCTTTCAACACTTCTGGGATATCATTAAGAATGACCTCTGTGCTCTTGTCTATAGCTTCTTCCAATCTGGTAAAATGCTTAAAAGTATCAACCACACTCTCATATCATTAATCCCCAAAGTGCAGAAACCTGATAGGATAACACAATATAGACCAATCAGTCTATGTAGTGTTACCTATAAGGTTATTTCCAAAATTTTGGCTTCCAGATTAAAGCCTATTCTTCCTCTCTGTATTAATGATTCTCAGTCTGCTTTCATCTCTAAAAGGAATATCCTTGACAATGTAATCCTTGCCCATGAAGTCACTCACTTTCTTAAAAACCATAGATCAGGAAGCTCTTGTTACATGATGATTAAATTGGATATGTCTAAAGCTTTTGACATGGTTGAATGGTCTTGTGTTAGGAACATCATGCTTAAGATTGGCTTTCATGACTCATTTGTTAAGTGGATTATGGCTTGCTTAAACTCTGCCTCATTCTCTTTTAATGTCAATGGTTCAATGTGTGGTTATGTCATTCCCTCCAGAGGAATCAGGCAGGGAGACCCCTTGTCTCCCTACATTTTCTTGTTGGTCTCTCAAATCCTCTCCTTAATTATTAACAGCTTTGTTGAATCAGGGGAATACAAAGGAATAAAAATCTGCAGAAACAGCCCTACCCTTACCCACCTTATGTTTGCAGATGATACCCTCATCCTTTCCAAAGCTGACCCCTCCCAAGCACAACTCATCCTCAAAATTCTGAACCAATACAATGCCATCTCTGGGCAATGTGTTAACCTACAAAAATCCTCAGTCCTATTCAGCAAAAACACACCTCAGACCCTCAGAGACCATATTTGCCAAATCCTTATGGGAATTCAGCCTCAAAGCTCATCCAAATATCTTGGCCTTCCCCTTGGGATAGGCAAATCAAAACTTGACACCTTCTCCTATATTAACCAAGCAGTCCAAGGCAGATTATCAAAATGGCAAAACACATTCCTCTCTCTTGCAGGTAAGGAAATCCTCTTGAAGGCTGTCCTGGAAGCCCTTCCTATTTATGCAATGTCATGCTTCATGTTACCAAAAGCTACCTGTGAAAAACTGGCCAAGAGTTTTGCTGATTTCTGGTGGCAAAACAAGAAACAAGGATCCCAGGGCATTCACTGGAAATCATGGAAACACATCACACTGCCCAAGTGCAAAGGTGGATTGGGATTCTATGACATCCATCTCATGAATAAAGCATTGATATCCAAACAACTCTGGAGGATTCACTCTCAACCTGAGCTACTTGTAAGTAAGGTCATCAAGGCTAAATACTTTCCCAATTCAACCATTCTTCTTGCTAAAGCTCAATCTAATTCCTCATGGCTCTGGGCAAGTTGGAGGAAAACCTTGGCATTCTTCAAAGATAATGTATTCTACAAGGTGAACAAAGGCTCTGATATTTTAATCTGGGACCATCCTTGGATCCCTTCTTTACCCTCTCACAAGCCTAACAGTTGCAATCCATGGAAGCACAGCATATCAAAGGTGCATGAGCTGTTAGATGACTCAGGCAGGAGATGGAATGTTGACTTGATCCATCAGTGCTTTCCCCCAGCTGAAAGTGCTGCAATCCTTAGTATCCAAGGAATGGACCCTCTGCTAGAAGACAGACTCACTTGGACCCACTGCAAATCTGGAGAGCTATCAGTTGCTGAAGTTTACAGAGTGCTAGTAGAGGAAAAATGAAATAAGCTGGATGTTCCAGAATGCAGCTTGATCTCTAAGGGGATGCAATCAGCAAGAAAAAGGATGTGGTCAATGAAAATCACAGGGAAACTCAAACATTTTTTGTGGAGATGTTTCACACACACTCTCCCTGTTAACCTAAACCTTCACAAGAGAATTAAAGATATTGACCCTGTGTGCAAAATATGTGGTGCTGAACCAGAGACTGTTGAATATCTTTTGTTCCATTGTCCTAAATCTCAAACAGTCTGGAAACTGGCTGCTATTGACTGGGAAGGCATCAAAGAGGACACTTCTGATTTTACACATTGGTGGATCAAGCTAAGCACACTCAAGAGAAATGCCATGGCTGACAGAAGACTTCAACTGACTATCTTCCTCCTTTGGTGGATATGGAAGGCCCGCAACCAATGGGTTTTCCAAAACCACTGGCTCCCTGAATTCTCAATAGCTCAAACTGCTTTATCAGCTTGGCTAGAAGCTGATTTTTTGACCAAGCCTTGATCATGGGGCTGTATTTTGGTTTTTGTTTTTGGATTGTTGTCTGTTTCTTCTCCCCTGTTGTTTTAGCTTGTTTTGGTTGTTGGTAGTGATAGGCTAGCTAGGTCCCTGGGTTCAGTGGCTAGTCTATCTTTTGTGGATGCATTTTGTATTAGCATTACCATTTCATTAACCTATCCTGGTCTCCATGACTTCTGCTCATGCCAGGTATAGGGTTCTGAAATGGATTTTGTTCTTTTGGTTAGATCACCATTGTTGGTGCTTCTGTTATTCTGCCTCGTTGCAGCGCTTGCAAATACTCTTTCTTTTTTTGGTATAAAATCTATCGTTGTGAAAAAAAAAAAAAAGATAAATGAATTGCACAATATTGTGTGTAAATATGCATCTCCAGATAAAAAATAATTAATTATCTCGAAATATAAAGTTTGAACCGAAAATTTTAGCTTGATCGGTTTCGACCGTTATTGTGCAATCAGTTTTTCATTAAACATTTTTCATTAAAGTGCAATTCGTCTGACACTATTGCAATTTACTGTTCAAAACACTGCACGTTGGTGTCCGTTATATTGCACATTAACGATAAGTAAATTGCACACTCGCGTGTATGTATATGCACGTAAAAAGTTAAAAAATTACAAGATTTAACAGCTGCATAATGTGCAATGTTGTTTATCAATTGTTTTTTTTTTGAAAAAAAATTTGATATGTTTAAGGGACTCAATTGCAATTTATAAACTCTAATATTTTCCAGTTCAATTAATGGCTTAAATTTACAATTTATAAAACTTTTAATAATTGCACGTTAATGTTATGTAAATTGCACGTTAACGATAATTAAATTGCACATTAATTTTATGTAGATTGCACATAAATATTTTCATCTGACGTTTTTTTATTGCAAAATTATATTCTATATAAAATATAACAAGTATTATTTATTTATTTAGTTTGGTCGGTCCCTTTTTTTTCTTTGTATTAAAATTTTGAAAGTAAATATATATAATCTAACCGACATAAAATTCGATCCCATAAAAATATTTTGGCCGCGTTCGGTGGGATATAGTGCAATCCCACAGTCACTAGCGTGCAATCCGTATAACACAAATGTGCAATCCGACATTCAGTAATGTGCTATACGAGTGTACGACTAACACTAACGCGCACTTGAAGAGTAACTATTTTTGAACTATTTTAGTATTTATAATTTATTAGTTAATAAATGTTGTTTGATTAAAATAAATAATATATATTTATATAAAGATAAAATATAAAAAAAATTAATATATTTTTTTTTTTGTATAGTTTGGTCAATTCTGATATTATTTAGTTATTTATTTTGTAAAAAAAGCCGAACTCGAGCTGAAATAATCAAAATATTATATTTTGTGAAAATGCTAATTGATATGTTAATGTGCAATCTCTAACACATTAATGTGCATCTGGTCTAACAATAGTGTGCATCCTGACAATCAATAATACGCATCATGAGTTATATTAACATAAAATTGAACCGGAACAGTTGGATTATTCGGTTGATTAATCGGATTAACAAAAATAAATGAAATAACTTATTATTTATATTATAAAAATATATTCACTATTTTAATTTTTTTTATTTTTTATAAATGTGTTTTTGGAAAAAAAAAAATTAATATATATGTATAAAAATATGTTGTTGTATATATATTAAATAATATTTATTATATATTTCTTATAATTTACAGATTTAACCCATAACAAGATAAAGATAATATTTTTTATAATTCGATTGATTAGGTTATTTAAAAAGAATTGACATCAAAACCGAAATATTAACAAAGACCTAAAACAAATAAATAAAGAAATAATATTTTGTATAGTTCGATCGATTAGGTTATTACAAAAAAATTGACATCAAACCGAAATATTCAAAAAAGTTAAAATTAAGAACATATATTCGAATAAAAATATATTTGGAACCAAAATATTTTTCAGTTTGATGTGTAATCCGTCTAACACAATGTGCAATATGTCTAACACTAATGTGCACTCGAGTGAAGTTATTATTTCTTTTTTTATGTTTTGTATCAACCCAAACTAAGAACAAAATAACCAATTTATTTGATCGGTTAATCGAATTAACATAAATAGTTTAAATAAATTGTAATCTATATTATAAAAAAAAATATTTAGTATCTTAATGTTTTTATTTAATAATTTGTATTTTTTATGTATAAAAGACAATATATGTATAAAAAGAACAAATGTAATATTTCTATATGTTTTATATGTTAGTTTCATTTTTTTTCAATAATCCAAAAATTAAAAGTAAAAAACATACTTAACAATGTACCAATATACTTTTGGTTTTTTCGCACGGAATCATTGCGTTGCGATAATGTGTATTATCGACTTCATTATTGTACATTTTATTAAATTGGCAAAAAAACATATTAAAAAAATTTTAATATGTAATTTTTAATATGCATTTTTACAAATTACATTTTAAGTAATGTGCATTTTATACTTATCATTAATATCCATCTATTAAAGGCTTTTAATTGGTTATTAAATCCTTAGTTGATAGCTTGTTAAAAAGCAAGAAAAAGACCATCAGAATTAATAAATGCATATTTTGAAAGCCCAGAGTTGTAGTAAAAACATGTCTCCCTTTTGCTTAATCGAAAAAGGAAATAATTAAAAAAACAAAAAACCTTTATGAAATTGCAAATAGGTCCTTGAACAATATCTTATTTTCAAAACAAAATCCAATTTCACCAATCACCCTCATCTCTAAATCAACTTGCGGGTCCATTATATATTTGCAGCACCTCCGGCCAGGTATTCTCCGACTCGACCGAGATTGCGACGCCGGAAATGATGGATTCTCCGACGACGCCGGACATGACGGCGGAGCTGGGCGGATTTCGGCCGAACTTTTGCACCGACGAGCTCGTAGCGGACTTCGGTAGAAGTGGCAGGTGGGACAATGGAGGCAGCGATTTCCGGTGGTTAGATGATCACGACGGCGGCCAGTGTGCGTCAAAACTGCGCGGTGGCAAAACAGAGCTCACCACTCCCGGCAGCTAGGCGACACATGGAGGACGGGCGGCTGCGGACGTCGGTCAGTCCCGGTGCCGGCAGGAGTCGGGTGATGGCGCAGTCGTGAAATCCAGCGGAAATACCTTGTGTGTGTAACTGTGTATGTGACGGGAAGGTGTGTGAGGTGTGTGTGAGAGAGGGAGGAATGTGAGAAAGAGGGGGTGAGGTGTTGCCACACGTGAGTACATGTGAGTTGGTGTGGGGTGGGTTCCAATATTTGTATGTGTAAATTACCACATTACCCTTAATGAAGGTATAATGTTGACTTTTTTTTTCCATCAGATCATTAAATCTAATGGTTGAGGGTTATTCTTATTTCTTTCACTTAGCACCATTCTCATGTGAGCGCGACCCTATATATATATATCTATATAAAATTGTAATGGTTATTCCCGTACTCTCAAATGGTTACATATGCTGTCAATTTTTCTCGCAGCAATCGGACCAACATACACGAATTGCATACAGTAATTGTAAAAAAAAAAAAAATAATAATAATGATAATAATGATAATGCACTGAAGAACAAGTCCCTGAGCTCGAAATCTTCAAATAACATTCAGACAACACAACGCGTGCGTGCGACTAATCAGACGCATTAAGATTTTTCGGCAGGCGGCCCAATGCAACAGCCGTCTTGGAGCTCGACTGGCGGCCCAAATACCCGTTGATATACTCTCCGGCCAACAACAGCTTGTCCATGTCAACATTGGTCTTCACTCCAAGGCCATTGAGCATGTACACGACATCCTCAGTCGCAACATTACCTGAAGCCCCTTTGGCATACGGACAACCTCCAAGACCCGAAACTGACGAGTCAACCGTGCTAATTCCCATCTGTTATTTTTCACTACATTGTTTGCATAAATGCGTAATAAGCGAAGATTTTAAGAATAAACGAATAGTAAGTTAGTTACTCACTTGGAGGGACAAAAGGATATTAGGAAGGGATTGGCCGTAAGTATCATGGAAATGAACGGCAAGTTTCTCAATCGGGACAACTGCCATTACTGCTTCAAGCATAGGGAGAACACTACCTGTGCCAAGATGATACGGATTCTGTGTCGTGAGCTAGAAGAATTGCAAGAATATCTAAACAAAAGCAGAAAAATGTGAAACATGTTTTTGGTTAATCTTGTCATTAGCTTTAAACAGTCAGAATATGAACTACTATGGCTAAGTTTGATAACCAAATAAGCTATAAGATAACTTATTTGGTTAGTTTATAAGCTTTTTGTATTCAAATGAGTTTCGTTTAGTAGGACGAACTTTTTTAAAAGGGGCGAGCTTATCTCATAAGCTTCTTTGGGTAGCTTTTCAAATAAGGTCGTTGACATTTTTATTTCAACTAGTTTATCTGCTAATTTTACTAAACACTTTTATCATATAAGCTAGCTGAACTTTTCAGCTACAAGTCATTAGCTATAAGCTCGAAAATAACTTATAAGTTATAGGCTACCTTATCAGCTATCAGCTAGTTTATCAAACATAGCCTTAACAAAACGAGAAAGAATCCGAGAGCCAGGATGACCTCAAAATATTTTGAAATAGTTAAGAGATACTTTTAAGCTCTGCTTAAATTTTTAAAAACTTGAAGCAATTTGTATATTTAGCACCATTATGCTTTCCAGAATAAGTTTCTGCCGATCTTCCTCAAATAACCTTTGCAAACTCGAAAGTATGTATTAGACAATTATTACCAGGTGTAGCAACTCCAATTGTGTCTCCGAGTGAAATCTCGAAACAGCCCATGTTATGAAGCTCCCTTGCCACATAAGCAACTTTCGAAGGGGTGATATATCCTTCGACCGGGCAGCCGACCACACAAGACACATACCTGTTGAATGTTATCAGCCAATTTTAACACAGCAAGAATGCAGAATGTACCCTTTACTTTTGAAACTGTCGAAAACCTATATAAAGTCGATTTATTACGGTCAGAAACAAAAGCTAACAATCACAAACAAGAAACTAAAACGAGTTGTCACGACTGTTCCAGTAACTACCGACATTGCCAAGTAGGATAATCGGCAAAAGAACAATGACAGCTAATGTACAAATAATTGACATGATATAGGTGGAGAGAACATTGTCGTACCCACGCACGGGAATCGAGAGTTTTTTGGCAGCAGAAATTACGGACCGATATCGAGCTAAGCTCTCTTCAATGCTGCAGTTAATATTTGACTTTGAAAAGGACTCGGAAGCTGATGCAAAAACAGCTACTTCTTTTGCACCAGCTGCAACAGCAGCTTCGAAACCCTGAAGGTTGTTCACATAAATTATCAGATCGTTTTTTTTTTTTTTATTATTTATTTAAAAATACTAAACAAAATTTCTGGACTAAAATTGGATCGTAAAGTTCACACCTACCTTAAGATTAGGTGTCAGTACAGGCAATCGAACACCTCCCAAGTTCTTAACTGCATCCATCACATCCTTTGCATCCGCCAGCTATTTTAGCCAAATAACAAATACCGATCAATTCATCGTATTATTAAAGCCAAAAAAAAAAAAAAAAATGATGAGAGTGACACTTTTGGTAAGAATTAATCACCTGAGGTACCCACTTTGGTGAAACAAAACTGGTGGCCTCAACAACAGACAACCCTGACGAAACTAATTTGCGGATCAAATTGACTTTGATTGATGTTGGCACAATGGTCTTCTCATTTTGTAGCCCATCTCTCGGGCCAACCTCAACTATCTTCACAAATCTCGGCATGTCTTTAAAAAGCTACAGTATGAAGAAAATTTGTCGCTCAGTAACTATTAGAGATAAGCCAAAATAGATAGCAAAGATAGCACGATAGCCCATTTCGGAGAAAATTCAAGAAGCTTATTATAAATCTTAGTATTTCATTCAAGTGTACCTTGAATTTTGATTCTCCCTTGTAACTGCCATTACAGTCCGAACAGTATGATTGATTATAACCGGACAAATAACGGAAATTGCTCATGTTTCCACAGGCCACAGAACTACTCCTACCGAGGCTTGAAGTCCTTTGCAATGAGATTTTGTTTTGTCTTCCCCATGCAATAGCCTCTTGCGCGTACTCCTCAAAATCTTCCCTGTATGTGAAAAAAATGAATGAGTGGACAAGTACATAACACCAGAATTTTCTAGAGACATAATGTTCAAAATTGTCTTTCCAACTGCAGTTCTCTCATATTAGGAATTGCTTTACAGATGATTGTGTTGGCTCGGAAGATTGTTTAGGAAAAAATTAGCACATATCAATTTAAGCTCGAACGTTATATTTGTGTAATTTCCAAATTAGCAGATCGCCATTTCCATAAATCATTAAAACTCATACTCTTTCCAAATCCAAGCAACATTGAATCTGCTTGGGAAAAAATTAAACCACTTACTCGCAGCTATTAGATGAGCTGCAACTTCTTCCTTCGATCCAGCAGTTGCCCATCCCCATGTCCTCTCTGATAGGCCTGCACGCACTGGATGAGAACCCATACAGCCGATCCATATTGCTCAAGCATGGCAGCTTGTCGAGACCAAGCGGCTCCTCTAAACTCGACATCCTGAAAACAAGTGCAAGTGAAAAAACTAAAGAAAATTACAACTGAATGAAGTTTGTACAATGAAATTTGCAAACAAGTGATAAACATTATGAATCGGTTTACACAAACTAGTTCATCCTAGAATGAAATACCGAGTTCCCGTGTGAGAACTAGTCCTCTACAAAACCGAAGATTTATATTGGTAAGCAAAAATAGAAAATTGCAATATTGAAGATCAGAAGCTTAAGAGACTTAAAAACTACAGACATCCTTATATTGCTTTTATACACCATTGTAAGGCCAGATCAAGAAAATGAGAGAGTTTCAAATGGAAGTTCATTATTGACTCCCATACAATTCACATAAAATGAACTCTCAATTGAAATATTAAAACCGAAACACAAAATTCACTCATTTCCATGTTTCCATCCTAAACAAAGCAACAGAAACACAATGCAATCTGAATCCAATTCATAAAGAGACTATAAAACAACATTGGTCATCCATGTCGTTATTTCGACCACTATACAAACCAAGTCGACAGATTAAGTAATGATTATCGAATTAGCATTTATATGAAGGAAATCACTAGAACACATGCCAAAACACCCAACAAAAAGGTAATGTGTAGCTCATCACTTAGCATTCAAGCAAAATGAGTGTAATCAAACAGAATAAGTATACACGTGAATCCCGATCTTCACCGACAAAATTTTACACGCGAAAAGTATGGTCGAGCTCGGACGAGACCTGGAAAATTCCAAACTAATTATCTTTAATCATTTTCCTTTTAGGGGATGGCTGATTAAATAGACTAAAAATCATCTATTAATTTCAATTCTTTTGAAGAACTGTGAATCCACACACTCAAGTCGATTAAGCCCTCAATTTCCTTAAACCAGAAAAAAAAAAATACCCAGAAAACCGAAACAAAAAATAGCAACAAACAATAACAAGACATACCTTAAACCAAACAAAAACAGAGGACAAAAGAGAATCTACGGAAAAATCGAAATCCTCTTTTATTCAAAAGGTTTGATCAAAATCTCCGAATTTTCTGGTATATGGGGTTTTGGAAACTTGAAGAAGAGGTAAAACGCGCAAGGAATAGAAGAAGTTGTTGGCCTGTGTGGACCGAATGGTGAACAGCAAACGTGACGGAGAATTTTGTCAAAAAGTTAGATATAAACCCATTAATTGTACGTATATATTGTGAAAGAGTCAATGAGGAGTGGAGCTGTGCTTCCCAACTATATGTTTTGTAGGTTTAACGGCGTCAATTGGGTTTGGAGGCTGTCCTTTTCATAGGTAATTTTTCTTGAGGTGCGGACATTAATTCAGACCAGTAAGAACCAAGAATAATGTGTGTCTGAGAGAGAGAGAGAGAGAGAGAGAGAGATAGAGGGTGGTAGGTAGTTTTCAGTTGGAAGATGACTGATTTCCTACAATTCATAAATCCTCATTTTCTTTTTTTGGTACAATAAAGGGAGGCAAGCTTACACAAAGACTAACTAAGTACTCTCTGAGGATAGGACGCTCCAATCATATCATGATGTAATCACAAACCCGCCCCCGATGGAGGGTGCTCCAGCCAGTGAAGACTACTAGGACCCTTAGCCGCCAACGAAGCCAAATAGTCCGCAACAAAATTAGCCTC